GGGGGGATGTGTTCAGCCAACTAGGGGGGACAAAGGGAAAGGATAATGTGTGGTACTTTGGCTGCATATATGAGGATTTATTTGGTGGTTAAAGGGTTAAGAAAGTACCATGTTTCTCCTGGAATTTTATGGTTGTTTAGTGGGTTGTACTAGGGAACATAGTAGGGACCATGTTGGGTGGATGTTGGAAGATGAATGGGGCTGTTTTGGTTTCCTATTGTGACCAGAGATTAAAATAGATAGAAGAGACTTTATTTTGGATATCAAAAGGAAATGAAATATATTTGGATGTTTAGGGTTGGGTTGGACGGAGTGGGGGTTGGCTAGCGGAACCCTTAGGTCAAAACGAAAGTTATTTTGGCCTTTCGGGCTAAAGGACTTTGAATTCTCACTAAAATGGATCATAATGTTTGAACCTAAGTCCTTTGGTTTCCATGAGGGTGTGGGATATGGGGGAGGGTATGATAGGGTTGGGCCTAGATATATCAAAATCCCAAGTCCCATTATCCCGTAACGCGTTATATTAGTTTCCATAGCCTGCAACCAATTAGGAATGCCAGAGGCGTTGGCGTAGGATTTGAGAAATGGCGGTGGTGTAAAGTCTGATCGGTGGATTTGGGCAGTGGCTTTTTGTTTTGGAACGGGTGGCCATAGGGTGAATGTTTGTTGTGGGGTGGTATGGCAGCAGAATGGGGTGGCGCCGTTGGGCAGGTGGGGGCTGGTCCAGTTTGGGCAGGAGGTGGGTTAGGGGGCTTGGTTGGGCGTGTACGCCGGGAATAAGTGAAATGAATAGGGTTGGGAGCTGTAGGGATTGGGTTAGGGTCGGTTGTGTGGGTGGTTGGTGTACAGGTTGGTACGGTTTTGTTGAAGGTAAACCCGGGTGGGATGGAATCATTCAGGAAGTGATAGGCAAGACTAGGAATGGGGGTACCATAGGCAAATTGGGTTTTGTCAAAAGTAACATGATGAGAAATGTGGACTGTACCGGTGGATGGATCTAAACACTAGTAGCCCGAGTGTCGTGTGGGTAGCCTAGGAAGATGCACCGAGTGGAGCGGGTGTGTAGTTTATGTGGTTTGGCAGCAGATGTGTTAGGATAGAATGCACACCCGAAAACTCATAAGTGATCATAGGTAGGGTGGCGCAGGTAAAGGGCGAAGGTGGGGGTATGGTAGTTTAGACGTTTGGTAGGTAGTATATTGTGAAGGTATGGGGCCGTGTGGAGTGCTTCCACCCAAAATTTGGCTGGAAGATGATCATGGATTATAAGTGATTTGATAATTTCATTAAGACGACGAATCATACGTTTGTCTCGACCATTTAGGGAGGATGTGTTTGGGCAAGAGAAGCGGAAAAGAAGGTCATTGGTGTGGGCAAATGTTTTGAAATCGTTGTCAAATTCACCACCGAGATCACATTGGAATGTTTTAACTGGCCGGTTAAATAGAAGGGGTGAAATTTAAGAAAATTGGTAAAAGCTTCAAATTTATACTTTAGAGGGTACATCCAAACAAAATGAGAGAAATTGTCAATGAGGACCATGTAAAATTTATAACCGGATGCACTGATTACGGGTGATGTCCAAAGATCACAATGAACTATGTCAAATGGAGCAAGCGTAAAAGAATTGGATTCATAAAAAGGTAACAGTTATCTATTAGATAGCTGACAAGAATCGCAAATATTCGATGTTTTATCCTTGTTACATTGAAACTTGAAAGCACGATTTAAAATATCAAAATCTTGAGCTCCGGGGTGTTCGAGATGATAGTGCCATTGAGTTGATGAAGAAACTAGAAAGCTGGGCCTGGGGTAACTGCTTGTGGGCTGGACAAAGGGCTGTTGGTGGCGAATATCCAGAAAAATGGGCCGATGGGGTTGCGTAGGAGGCTGTGAAAAATGGGTGTTGGGCTGCCAGGATGATTGGGTTGGGAAGGGGAAAGGTGGAGTGTTCCACCAAGCCCAATTTGGGTACGGTGATGGTGGTGGGGGTATGCCCTTGGAACCCTGAAATAGCAATTAGTCATTACAACTTATGACGCTCATCATGGGTTATCTCGAAACAACTGCTCTATGTTTTAAACATTTAAGTCAGACTGCGTACATCCGACCACCCCTTACCCCGCAATGGGCGGGAGCCGTTGAGGCACTGGGGTAATGTTGTTGTTGTAATTAAAGAGTTAAATTGAAATATACATAATTAATTGAGGAAATCTCGATCTTTTTTAGCACCAAAATACATTTCATTATTTTGATGAATATCTCAAATTCTTCCCAAGTACCTCAGACAGAAAATGTGTGCATGAGAAACCTTTTTCAAGAGCAGTCACTCTTGATCTTCCTCGCGCTACTTAGTGCAAGAAGTCTGATCTCTTGTGTTCCTTCTTAACTATCTCTCCCACACCTGAAAACATCTCTATGAACTTTTTGCATTCCCCATGTGAGAGATAATTTCCCTTGCTTTCCTTAAAAATTCTGCCAAAGCAGATAGCTGATCTCGAAGGCCTTCAGATTCAATTTCTATAAACAATAAAAAGTAAAACATCATCACAAATCTTCATACAAAATAGAAATAGAAGGCAAGAAGGCAGAAAAAGAATAAAAACATGATTTGATCTCTTAACTATATAAAGCTATAAAAATTTTTTAAGTTGTTTATTGAGTTACTTAAACTCAATTTGGTCCTTGTCAAGGAAATTCACATGTAATCTCACTCTATGCATGTTCTACTCTAAATAAAAAGGAGGGTTTCCTATTCTAAATGACAAAAATACATAGTTGAGGTGGTGAATTGTGTGTGAAATGATGGCTAAAATTAGTGAACAAACAAAAACATGATCATCATTTAGAACCAAACATGCAAGTTAAGGATCATTTTTTTTGTGCACCAAAAACACAAAATTTTATTACAAAAATCTCCATCGTTTCACCATACAATGTAAAATCCTCTACCAAAACAATACTACATTATCTTCCTAAATGACAAGTAGTTTTTGATATGGTGTTGGGTTATTCGGTGAAGGCTTTAGAGCTGTGGGCTTTAAGCCTGGTCGGCTAAAGGGAAGAAACATGGGGGGCCGGTTTTAGTTATTAATTAAAGGGCCCATTAGTTGTTTCTTGTTTAGCAAGTTGTTAACCCTAGTTTATATCTTATAAATACCCAATCATGTAACTATAATCTGTGAGCCCCTAATAAAAGATAAACCCTAGCTGCAACCCGTGGAGTAGTTTACTGACCGAACCACGTTAAATCTTGTGTTCTTATTTTCTGCTATTTGTGTGTGTGTGTTTGTTCGCTTCCGCTTGACCGCCTCTGATCTCTGATTCCTAACAAGTGGTATCAGAGCCTTGGTTCGGTTAAACACACGGTTACACAGGATCAATCGCAGGAAGAAGGCTGTTCAGGATCGTTTTGCTGCTGTTTTGCTGCCGCGGTTAAGGGGCTGGTTCAGATCTGATCAGGGGCTGGTTCGGATCTGATCAGAGGCTGGTTCGGATCTGGTCAGGGGCTGTT